TGACTGTGGATGTCGGATAATGACTCAAGTTATTTCCTTGAATGCATGGAAAGAACCGAATTGGACTTATTTGTTGAAAACATATGTGAATATGTGTGGGAAGTGCGGGAAGAGACAGATGAAATTCCAAACTATGGAAAACAAACTCTTGGAATTGGAGAAGGCGAGAATGAGAATGTGTTTTTTCCCCAAATAGTGCTCCGCACTAAGGGGTTCTTACGGTAAGAGTTAAGCGGGTTTAGATCAGGGTTCGCGCGTGTGGCTGTGGCATTTTGCGTGGGCCGGCTCGCACAAAAGTTACTTTTTGAATTCCTCATGTCCATTTCGACTGCGCAGGCTCGCATAAAGTGGTGGCCGCGCCTTTCGCGCTTCCGGGACAAAGCTCTCGTGCAGGTGCCGTGCTCGTTTTCGGACATGAAGTGCATTTTGCGTGGCAGGCGCAAGGAATTCGACACATTGGAGCCTCGAAAAGGTCATTTTACGTGGCAGGTGCAAGGAATCGGAGACTTTGCAAATTTCGTGGCAGGCGCAGTGTTTTGCGGACGTTGCAAAAACGTTGGCAGGCGTGTGTCATTCGCAGGATTGCGTTTCACGTGGCAGGCGCAGGGAATCCGCACCATGGATGCGATATTTTGAGGTGAAGCGGCTGAATTCGTGAGAGGGGTCGCATTTTTGGAATTTGAACTTGAGGATGCTTTTGCGTGGCCAGTGCAGCATTTCGTATGACCTGCAGGCATGATTTCGTGGCAGGCGCAACATTTCTGAAACGCATTTCAAAATTTGCGAAAGCCTCGTGCAATTTGCTCATTTTGGATCTCCGATGCGCAGATTTCGTGGCAGGCGCAGCACTTTGTGAATCTGGATGTGCAGATTTCGTGGCAGGCGCAGCACTTTGTGAACCTCCATGTGCAGATGTCGTGGCAGGCGCAGCACTTTGTGAACCTCCATGTGCAGATTTCGTGGCAGGTGCAGCACTTTGTGAATCTCGATGTGCAGATTTCGCGGCAGGCGCAGCACTTTGTGAAGCTCGATGTGCAGATTTCGTGGCAGGTGCAGCACTGTGTGAATCTAGATGTGCAGATTTCGTGGCAGGCGCAGCACTTGCTGAGTCTGGAAGTGGAGATTTCGTGGCAGGTGCAGCACTTTGTGAATCTCGATGCAGGCACAGCACTTTGTGAATCTCAATGTGCAGATTTCGTGGCAGGCGCAGTACTTTGTGAACCTCCATGTGCAGATTTCGTAGCAGGCGCGGTAGATTGTGAACTTTGAAATGCTCCTATGTATTCGCCTATGTGCTCTCAGATTTGTGCTTGTATGTGCTCTCACATTTGTGCTCTCAGATGTGTGCTCTCATGTGCTCTCATGTGCCCCCATATGCTCTCATATGTGTGCTCTCATTTGTGCTCGTGAATCTGCACTCTCACATTTGCGCTCTTGTATGTATCCTCTCATATTTGTGCTCTCATCTGTGTGCTCCTTCTTTCCTTCCACATGATGCCATGTTCCATCTGTTCCTCTTTACACTATTTGGAGTCCCTTGCCGGTGTAATTTTTTGAATAAGATGTCAGTGAAGACACGGAGGAGGATACATACTTTGACTTGAAAGAGATGAAGGAACATCTCAAAAGCCTACCACCCGATGAGAGGAAAGGCGTAAAGGACTTTGAGAGATTGAGGAACTTGGCAAATGGAAGAAACGAACACGAAGGACTACACGAGATAGATAGAGTGATAAAAGAACTGGAAGAGGAGGAAGGGAAAAAGGAAAACCCACCAGAACCCGAAATCTAAACAAGACAGCACAATTACTTAAAGAAACAACACCTATATATAGTAAGAGGAAATGAGTAGCGTAAAAATTGCCGATTTGAGTTCAGTTTCTGACAATTTAGCCTTATATGCTGACTTTTGAAGTGATAGTGAGGAGAAGAGTGGGAAAGAAAACACATAGAAAAAGAAGATGAAGAGATAAGAGAATTCGTTAGATGTCATCCTATGTCTTTACCTGATGATGAGGACGGCGATGCCTTCTGGCACAAAGTGATTGATAGGATGAAAGAAAAGGAAGGAGTAAATGGTATGTTAATTTGTTCGTTCGTGAGGTTTGACATTATGAAAAAGATATCAAAACCTCACGGACAAAAAAGTCATCATTGATTGTGGTAAGGAACTCAACCGTGATGGAGAATTCAATGCTATGATTATACACCTAACTCTTCTGTCAATAACGATGGATGAACTAAACGATGCAAACAAACCGTGCCTAGCACAAATGAAGGTCATTGAACACTGGTGGGATGGAATAGGAAAATGGAAAGCATAAGCACGATTAATTCATAATACTTCTATTAAACATATTATGAACTAATCCTTTAAACCCAAACCCCCACAACAAGGTAACCCCTTAAACTTATAGAGATGCAATGACTGACAAAAAGCAATGTTCCGAGTGTAAGGTCTTTCAACCACTCAACTATTTCAAAAATGAATGTACGCAATGTACATAATGTCTGGAAGCAACTCAACGATACAGGGAGAAAAAACAAGATAAATTAAGAGAGTATGCCAGACAATACTACTACCGTAAAAATGAACACACATTAGTATGTCCCGTGTGCGAAAGCATTAAACAACTATCAAGTCAAACGACACGAGGAAAGCATCAAACATCAAAACAAAGTAAAAGGAAAAGAACAGCCAACAGTTATAAGAAATGGAGAGGATGATGAAACTGGCATTATGGGAATATAAACCAAAAACACAAAAGAAACACCACAAATCAAAACACAACAACCTAAAAAATCATCCACCTCGTTGAATTATAGCAATGATAGTGAACGTTATGACCCTAAAACACGCATAACAAAACCCCAGAAAAACGACAAAGGCTCAACAAACATTTTCAAGAGCCAAGAAAAATCAACGAGGTGGTTGATGAACAAGAATTCCCCAGAACCCCCATTTTACAACTTTTTTTGGGACAGGGGTGCGAAATTGAAGAATATGATTCCGGGGCCGCATATGTGGCCAAACAACAATTGTCAATGAGGTCAACCTTGCCGGTGAATCATGCCCTTGAGCTACTTGGCCGTCGAACATTGATGTTCATGTATGGGTTCAGTTGGTGAAACGGTTCCGGACGCCAGGTTGGCGCAAAACGTGAAAAACAAGGCCCGTGCAGCTGGTGTGGCTGTTCCACACGCAGTGTGGTGCCAACATACGAACCTTGGCAAGGTGGCCAACGGCCACATCAAGAATCCATCCAGTTATGCAGGGCACCGAGAACATGCGCGTGGCATGCTGGAAAGGCGCGCCTTATTCTGCAGTCAAGGTTTGCGCCACCGTTGTCCGGGGCTATGTGCCGGAGGCCTGTGGGTTTTGGTTTTTTGGGTTGGCACCGGCTTTTACTTGGAGAGGGGTTTCGCGGCGCACTTTGGCCACTGCCAGGCAAGTGGTGGAGCGCAGGCTTTCTGCCAAGGAAAGCTGGGAGACATATCTACCCAGGCGTGGTTCGCAGGAAGGTTTGCTTTTTGAAACAGGTATATACAGTATGAGATATGCATCATTGAGACAGTTGTTAGAGGGCTGCGCCACAGCAATCCCCTGCAGGGAGAGGGAAAGTAGAGAAGGGAGAGACAGAAGGAGAGATACAGATGCAGATACGTAAATATGATAAAATAAAGGGTCGCCCAGTTGCCTTAACAAACCATGACCGGACGGGTTTGCAAACTCCTCAAAGGAGGACAAGAGTCGGGTGAAATATTTTGTGGAAAAGTGAAGTGCAGCGAAGACAATGGGGGAGAGAAAACAAAATGTGTGGACAACTGTCAATCTGCTAAGGACCAATTGCGTGCGAAGTGCGGCCATGCAATCAGAATCGTACATGTGTAGATGTTTTTGCGATCACGCTTCCTATATAGATTTGCCTTGCTGGTGCTGCAGGCGGTGGCCCCAGCTCCCCAGGACCAGGACATGAACTTGGCGGTGGCACGGTTGACCTCGACGATTGGCATGATCAAGGCCGAAGAGGCGCTGGTAATTTGTCCAGGGGTGTTGGGCAAGCACGGGTAGCAAAGCTACAATGGAAGGGGAATTGTCGATTTTGGGCAACATACACCAGGCACTTCATACACAACCTCGCCGTCGCATGTGTGCAATATTGCTCTTTTTTGTTCGGCCTTTTCAATTTTTTGAACCCACAGTTTTGCGAGGCTGGTGTCAACCTCACAGATGATGCCATCAGGGTGCGCATGGGGCCATGCATAAAATTGTTTGACGTCATAGCGCAGCTTTGCACTGCAGAGGGTGGGCTAGATTCGATGAGGATTTGCCGAACTGCCGGGCCTAAATTAGCACATTTTGGATGCATCTATTTGTGTGTGTGTGTGTGTGTGTTTTTTTTGGATGCTCAGCCGGTATGGCATATTGCAGAAAAGCTCAGTGTGGCCGCATTGGAATGTTGGTTGGTCATCACTTTTTCCACGCGCCCACATCGGTTGGGCAACTTTGCGCAAACTATGATTCCTTTGTGTTGAGCCAATAGTTTGGGATATGCGATCTGTATATCGTGTTCTGCTTGGGGTTTTGCTAGTGCCGTGCTTGCAACTTGGGAGAGCTGTGCAAGACAGGTTTTGCGCGCTGTGCTTGACGTGCAACCTAGGCGCTCCTCAAGCTTCCGACGCAGCACGCCTCGCAGCTCTTGGAGCAGGTGCCACGGACGGGGGTGATGGAATGCGGCGAACATGGGCACGAACAACATTTTCTTTTTTTTGGGGGAGTTTGGGTGGGGGGAGTAGGTGGATGTAAGGTGGCATGCTTGGTGTCACTCTCATTCTGCCGCAGGCTGCTGGTCCCAATGATTTAGATTCAGCCAACGGACTTGACCATGGCATAACCGATGCATGATAGAACATCGGCCTAATCTTCAATGGAACTGCAGCTTTCAATAGGTAGCAGTGCCAAACCAGGAGAACACAGTAGCAACATACAAGGAGTCTTTGTTGAAAGAGACCACTTTACTGACGCCATGGAGGGGCAAAGGTTCTCCAGGTTGGGCCTTTCCATCATAGCCTGCTTGGGATTTGCGGTGCTTGTGTTGAACATCTTCTTCTGGTGGCGCTACGTGCACGCTGCCGGGCTTTGGGGTGACCTGGAGGACGGTTCCTGCAAGCTCTTAAGCGAAAAGTACACCGCAGGGTGGAAGTGGGGGTGGAGCTTCCCCATCACTGGGCCATCTTGGACAGATGTGCCCTGCAATGTGAAACTCGAAGCCTCCCTTGACGGTGAGCCGGGTTTTGAAGGGAAAGCGACGCTCCACTTCACGTATTGGCAGGGCGTGGTGTGGGACTACTTGAAGGATAGCTGCAGCCGAATGCTCCCGAAGCTTGACGGCTCCTTTGACTGCGCTTTTGATTTGCAGGGGACCGTGTTCGTGGGACATACTGGTAGCCTACCGCATCTTCCACGGCTACTCCTGATGAAAGCCTCTGGCTTGTCGCTCCTGACGCTGAGTCCGGTTCTCCTGATGTGTGTCAACATGGGCCGAGCTGCACGAGCTTCTGAAATCTCTATGGAGGTCCAGGCAGACGAGCCATACACTGTGTTGACAGAGGATCCTGATGGCATTTAGAATTTGGAAGAGCCTGTTCGCTGGGGTCGTTTCTTAGTCTTAGTCAGCACGTGGATATTCACGATCGCTGGATCCTGTAGACTCTCTCTCTCTCTCTCTCTCCCTCTCGGGGCGTGGCTTTAGCCACATCGCGACTCTGAGAACTGAAGCATGCATTTTGAGAATGCACCACGCGTGCTTTGTGTCCTTGGACTAGAAAGGCATGAGGGGAAAATGTGCCCTTGACAAGATTAAACAAGTAGCCTCTGCAAAATGTCTGGCAAATAAGTCCTTCATACTCATGGTAAGCTCAAGATATCAGCTCGTGGTGGTGCAAAGTGTCCAGGTGGCCGAGAAGAAGGGCGTCATCCGCGACTTGTCCACGTCCCAGATCAATCATCGCTTCGGCTTGCCCGAAAAGACCCATGCCCGTCCCTCCAAGGTCCAACTATGTGTGTGCCACGGTGGCACGGGGTTACCACCCCAAGGCACGACCACCGGTTCCATACGGTGTGGGTGTCGGGAAGTGCGGAGATGTTGGTGGCGCGCCTGTGATTCTTCAACGAACGCAATGCAGCTCCGAAGAGGTCGGGAACCTTTGAAGTCCAATCCGTAGCGCTCCCGCCAGGAGGGTGGTGTGGTCGGCGGACAATTGGGTGCACACGTCTACAATTCAAGGCCTTGCAGCAATCCGAGTGGGTCATCCCCGCAATGCTGCGCCGAAGAGCAGACCGCCCCAGAAACCATGCCTGAGGGTGCACAAGGACCCCCGTACTTGGCAAGACTTGTTTGGACATTGTTTTCAAGATTTGAACATGTTTGAGCCTGAGCAGATGCTTTCATTTCCCTTACAGGTTGCAATCAATGTTTTTGCAGCAGCCTCCACTCAGCTAGCCCTGCTCAGGCCAAAAGCTGCCGAAGCCGTGCCAGCCTCAGTGGCACTACGGCAGACGCTGGCGCAGCCACAGCTACCATTGACCAATGGAGCTTGGCAAACACCAGGAGAGCAGCCAGGGGCCCTCGTGCCGCCAAGGGGGCCTGTTGGAAAGAAGATCGGAAAGTGCTGGGATTGACCGCAACAGCGTTGAACACGCATCCCGAGCTTTCTTTTATCCCTCAGGACCTCCTCCAGAGCGCGGTGGAAGCAAAGGCAAAGGCCGGACGTTGTACGTAGCAACTAAGCAGCAGCTGAAACGTTGATCAGGTGGATATGTTTCGGCAATCTGTATTTCTTGGCATTTGGATTGACAGAAAGGTGTTTAATTGTTCAACATGATGTGGGAGACTTGGCTAACACAATGCTCCAATCCCAAAGTTGGACCGGTGGTGAGTGATGCATTTTCCCTGAGATTGTTCAGCCCCGCCACAAGGAAGACACGAGCTCCTGTTAAGGGAAGACACGAACAATTGATGTGCATCTGCAGGAAAGGGCACCGGCATTGAATTGGTGGAGCGGCCACGCTTTTTGGGGGATTCGCGGTCAAATCATTCGAAAAAAACAGCATTTCAGCCACACAACAACAACAACAACAACAACAACAACAACAACAACAACAACAAC